AAAAAAGAAGAAAGAAAACAAAAAAAAAAAACACACACACACACACACACACGTACGATCGACCCTGCGATTTTTGTCCAACGAGAACGGAACGAAGAGAGTCAAACTTGTCGCTTCTCCTCGCTTCGTACAAATCCGAAACAATTCGAAACTTCATGCGGAGGAAGTTTCACGAAAAAGTTATAGAGACGACGACCGAAGTGAGAAGGGATAAGGGGGTAAGGGGGAGGGGAAAAAAATAATGGTATACGAGTTTAAACGAAATTAAACACAGGAAAGACAAGAAAATAAAAACAGAATATATATATATATATATATATATATATATATATGCATATTCGAAGTAGCGCTTTTGAAGTAATGCGGACGACCGGTCGACGAGTTTTTCTTTTTCTTTTTTTTTTTTTTTTTTTTTTTCTTTTTTCTTTCTTTTTCTTAAGAAAATAAAGAAGAAAAAAATAGAAAAAAAAGACAAAAAACAAAAAAAAAAGAACGAAATAACAAAGTTTTAATTAAAGGATAAATTAGAGATACGTGTTTTTTACACGAGGACCAAGATTTTTATGAATCTCGATTGGATCCTATATTAACGACGCATGTCGTTATACTATATGCGAACAGTATGACAGAGATAGAGAAAGAGATATACATATATATACCTATATATAGAAAAAGACAGAGACAGAAAGAGAGAGAGAGAGAGAGAGAGAGAGAGAGAGAGAGAGAGAGAGAGAGAGAGATAGAGAGAGGGAGTGAGAGAAGAAAAAGAGGAAGGGAGAGAACGACACGACCGGTCACGCATGATTTCAATTTCACGCGTTTTAACAAATGTAATCGTATTTTAAAGACTTATCGAGAACGCGACAATCAAGGACGTCGATCCGACCGTGATGATCGCAGCACCACGAACCGTCGAGGGTAATAATAATATTAATAATAATAATAATAATAATAATAATAATAATAATAATAATAATAATAATAATAATAATAATAATAATACTCGCGAGGGGTGGTTCACTGGCTTTTTATTGAATTATATTTATTCTATAACAAAACATTATTTTTTATTATTTCTTGAAAACCGCCCTTCGTTATCATCCCCGACGCTCGTTGGTATCGTTACGTAAATCTACGCTATTACACTCTCCTTTGCACGAAGTTTCGGTTGGATTAAGTTATCAATGATCGAGCGATAACGAGACTCAATGATAGACGACGAATCTTAATCGTTGCGTTTTATTTTATTTCCATCATTGTATTCGATTCGTCGGATTCAATGAACTCGAATGCGTTCGAACAAATTCCATATAATCGTCCTACTTGCGAAACGCCTCTGCCAGATCAAATTTTAATACAATTAACAAAAGAGAAATTTTATCAATTTTTATCCATTGTCTGTGTCATCTTATCTTCTTTCTTTTTTTCTTTCCTGTTCTTTCTTTTCCTTTTTTTTTTTTCTTTTTCTTCGATTTAATGTAACACCAAACGTACAATTATGCAAGCAGGCGTAAAACGCGCGGACGCGTTTCGTAGGACGAATAAAGATCGTGCGATTCGGAAGATGACGAAAAAGAAAAGAAAACGAAAAAGTAGAAGAAGAAGCAGAAGAAGAAGTAGAAGAAGCAGGAGAAGAAGAAGAAGAAGAAGAAGAAGAAGAAGAAGAAGAAGAAGAAGAAGAAGAAGAAGAAGAAGAGAGAGCAAGCAAGCGAGCGAGCGAGCGAGCGGACGACGTATTGGCTGTTCGTTTTATAAATGAGTTGTTCACTCGATTGAATCATCGCCTTAAAAATGTATACGAAATAACGGTAAGGTATCTAAATAATAATCATGTTAGACGGTAAAAAAAAAAAAAGAAAAAAAAAAACGTAAAACAAAGATTTTATGAGCAGCGACACGAGGGTAGTGATTGAGTGAGTGAGAAGGATCGAGAGAGAGAGAGAGAGAGAGAGAGAGAGAAAATATATCGGAGAAAGAATGAATGAGAGAGAGAGAGAGAGAAAGAGTGAGAGAAAAAAAAACGTATGCGTGGGAATGAACGCATTTTGAGAAGACAGAAATTTGGCGGCCCTTGTATTTGTGTGTATCGCGTGATTGCCATTGAGAAAGATCCGAGAGTAAGCGAGAGTGTGAGAGGTGAAATAATGTATAATTATTGTATAATCACGGACGATGATGATAACGACTACGGCCGTCGGCGATAACGACGATGATCGTAATGATGACGATAACGACGTATACGCGTGCGTCGTCGGCGAAGATCACACGGCTTCGTTTATTATTATGATCGCGAGTGTTGAACGATTATGATAACGACGATTACGACGACGACGTAGACGACGACGACGACGACGACAAAGACGACGATATGGATGATGATTATGATGATGTAAGTTAAAAATTTATTCTATATCGGTATGGAAATTCAGATTTTTTCAACTGTTTTGCGTATTGATGACCCATTGACACCCTTAAAAAGTTAAGAAAAAAAAAAAAGAAAAAAAAAAAAAAGGAATTAATCAAGAGAAGCAAGGGACGATAAAATAAAGAATAAAAGAAAAGAAAAAAAAAATAATGTAAAAAAAAAAAAAAAGAACGAAGGATGGTGATCGCGAGGACCGGTAAATAAATTTAAATGGACAAATTGGGGGAAGGGGTGGGGAGAGGGGAGAAGGAAGCAAGGGCTAAAAAAATTGGTGTTCTTCTGCTTTGTAAAAAAAAAAAAAAAAAAAAAAAAAAAAAGAAAAAAAAAGGAAAAAAAAAGAAAAAAAAGATATAAAAAAAAGCAAAAAAAAAAAAAGAAAAAAAGAAAAAAAAACAGTAACATTAACAAAATCATACTGCTCTTCGATATATCATATAAACCCAAAATCGATTGTGATAATGAGAATAATGAGATAAGTGGGAGGGAGGGGGGTAAAGGAGAGAGAGATACTACGAACGACACGGAAAACGCTCGCTCACTCACTCGCTCACTCACTCACTCACTCACTAACTCACTCACTCACTCAATCCTTTTCACGCGCGCTCACACGACATACAGAGATAGTAGACATACCCATACGTACACTAAACACACACGAACACACACGCGATGCCGATAGTTGTTTTGTTTGGATTCTTCTTTTTTTTTTTCTCTCTTTCTTTGTTCCTTTTCGTATCGTGACGAATGAACGAGCTTACACACGAGGAAACGCGAATGCGTTAGGGATCGAGCGAAACTAGAAAGTAAATATTGGAAGAAATATAGCAACAATAATGATTAGAGGAAGAAAAGGGGATGTAAGGCGCCTTCTAGCGGTTAAACGATAGCCGAGGATGATGTACCATCGAAAGATGTAAAGTATTAGTATTATGGGACTATGTGCATACGAGCATTACGTATAACTGTATTTAAGGGCGCAAGCGTCTCGAGCCGATATCACGCAGCAAACAGACAAATCACTCGATGATCAATTTGTGCACTTTTAGATCGATCGATTCTGTTCCATTCGGGAGAAATAAAAAGGAAAACAAAAAAAAAAAAAACAAAAAAACAAAAAAAAAATAAACAGGGGGAAAAATAAGAAATAAAAAGATAGAAAGAAAGGAAAAAAAAAAAAAAAGAAAAAAGTAAGAGATAATTCTTGACGGAATCGATTTTAATCATGAATACGACGATGAGAGAAAGGACGATGTCAAAGGTGGTCTATGTTAGAGAGTGTCCATTGTGTATAGTGTTTTTTGAAACGTGAGCATTAAATGCTACATCTTGTGTATATCTCTCCTGCGTCTGCGTGTTCTTTATTTATTTAATCATCATTTAACTTGTTCATTTTGATCGTCCATCGCGTTAAAAAGTTCCGACCGCGAATGGTGCTCGTTCTCTCTCTCTCTCTCTCTCTCTTTCTCTCTCTCTCTCTCTATCTTTTCCTCTAATTTTCTTTTTTGCAATATTTTACAACGTCCCTTATTCATTTTCTAATAGATATCTTAAATTATTATCGACGAGCATCGAATAAGTCTAACGTTTTATCGCGAGTGGACGATTTCTCCACTTCCCATAATCCTTTCTTTTCATTTTATGCCATATTTTTTTCCCCACTTATTAAATTATAAGGGATATTAAATGAACGAGAAAGAAGAATGGAAGGTAAGTTAATAAAGAAGGATAATAAACTGGACATTCATTTCGTTCACCAAGATGGGCTGATGGTTTGTTAGCGAGCTGTCAATGTTTCTCTCGCATTGTTATCGTTGGTTCTTGACTGTTGAAAGCAAAAGGGTGCTTATAGTTGGTCGTATAAAGGGTGCGTTCACCAAGTACCATCCCCTTTTTCGAAACACCAAATTTCTTTCCGTTCTCGCCTGCGAGTCACGAAACACTCGGTCTTTTATTCTTCTCTCTTGCTTTATCCTACTGAAATATGACACGGGGGTGCTCGCCGTAGACGCAACTCTCTCTCTCTCTCTCTCTCCTCCTCGTAACTGCCAATTACCACTGATGGTTATTCCATGGAAATGGACCTTGTTACGACGTTGGGCGTCAAGAATCGGAGGTGGGGAAAAAGCGCCAATTATTTTCGTCGACGTCGATGCCACCCCCATGATCTTGAGTATCAACGTTCAAAAGTACTGACTCGCAGTATCCAAAAGAATGCCGTTGTTATCCGATCGATGGATCATTAAAGGAAAAAAATGTTTAATCGATTATCGAATGAGAACGTCTTTCGAATTACCTGGCAAATCATTAATATGTGCGTATTTATAGAGAATATCTTTAATAAAAGTAAAATATCATTTGAGCTTTGCCATTATAACTCTACGATTATTATTCTTAAATCGATTGGAATCGATCTTTCGAAGGAGAAAACTCGAGGAAGCTGTTTGGAAGCCGATAATGTATTGGAGCGAAGACTACGTGGGTAAACAATCTCGTAATGGCAGGACGGTACGGTTGACTGGTAGTATAGCTCGATCGGTAGCTCGAACTGTTAGCTCTCCTGTAATGAGATATTAGAGTCGAGGCATAGTCCTAGTCTCTCTGGGTAGGGAGTGGCCACTTTGGGGTAGTAACGCGCGATAGACGCCCGTTTATAAGCGCTTATAAGGGGATCGTTATTACGGAACGCTAGTGGGTGGTATCTCGTTTTCTCCCTTGGGACCCGATTACGTCGTCTTTTCCTCTAGGACTGCATGAATGATCCCTCCTCAGAAGATTATTTCGAACTCTTTTTCGTTGATGACAAAGGGACGAATTTAGAAATGTGACAATATTGTCGAATGTAAATGAAATTACGAAATAAATATATCTATGATTATGGAGATATCGAAGAGATCGGTAAGGATCAGTAATAGTAATAGTAATAGTAATAGTAATAGTAATAGTAATAGTAATAGTAATAGTAGTAGTAGTAGCAGTAGTAATAGTAGTAGTAGTAGGGCGAAGTCTCGTGTCAAAGCGAGCAGAGAACAAAGGAACGGTTCGGTCGTCGATAATGTACGAGCTCAGAGGAAGGAGAGAGAGAGAGAGAGAGAGAGAGACGAGAGGAGAGAGAAAGAGAGCGTTTGAGCTCGCGGACAGGTGAAAGGGTGGTGCGACATTGTCGGAGACTCTAGGGCAGAGAAGCTCGCTCGGTCGCGGCGAGAATCGTTCCCTACTCCTCTTCCACCTCTTCCTCCTCCTTCACCTCTTCCACCTCCTCTTCCTCCTCCTCCTCCTCCTTGCTCCTCTCACCCCGTACGGACAAATGGGTGTCCCTGCATATGTAAAAGCGCCGCTGTGTTCGCCTCACCCTCGGCCAGCCATTTGTCAATGTCAAGGCGCGAGCGCCGTATCCATGGAAACACCCCCGACAGGCGAGTGTGTACGAGCGTGTGCGAGCGTGTGCAAGCGAGTCGAGCGAGTCGAGCGAGCGAAGCGAAGTCTCCTCTGCCGGAACGACCCGCGCCCTACCACCATCACCATCACCACCACTACCACCACCATCGACATCGCTGCCACCGCCACCACCACCACCTCCAGTCATCCTTTCTCCCTTCGAGCATGCGCCCTTATTCTCACCACCGAATATTTCCGAATAATGCCACGAGTGATTCTGGTGGCGCCTCTGGACGATCCTACGCTCTCTTACAAGTAGAATCTTTCATTAAATGTAAAAACAACGATATATCGGAGAAAATTGTAATTATTCATTCTAAGAAGGAACTTTATTGCTTCGAAAACAATCGTAATTTCTTGAAACATTTCTTTCTAGTTTCATTCCTTGGAATGAGACGGTGACGATGGCGATAGCGATAGCGATGGCGATGCCGATGGCGATGGCGGGGGGAGGGGAGCCGAAGATGGGGGGGGAGGACGAACTTTTATAGTAATAAAAAACTGAACGTCCTCTAGGTTTTTACTCTCGAGGGAGAAACGATTAAAGTTTGAGTTAACGGAACTAGCAATAAGACATGTTGTTTAAATATTTAAGATGGGCGTCGATGGAAGGAAGGAAGCAAGAGCAAGAAAGTAACAGTAGCTTCTGTAGCGTGCTCGTGTTACGAAGCAACGGGGTGAACTCGGAAACGAAGGGGACGCGAAGAGAGTAGCGATGCTGCTGATGGTGATGGGTGATGGTGGTGGTGGTGGTGGTAGTGGTGGCGGTGGTGGTAGTAGTGGTGGTGGTGGTGGTGGTGGTGGTGGTTGTCGAGGCGGAGGAAGAGTCAGAGGAGAAAGGAGAGGAGGAATAGGAGGGGGAGGAGGAGGAGGAGGAGAAGGACGACGACGACGAAGAGGAGGAAGAAGAGAGGGAAAGGAGGAGAAGGAAGAGGTGGAAGGTGGATCACAAGCGCTTGCGCAGCCCGTAATGATTGACTGGCTCGCTGGCAGCCAACAGACAGACGTTCGCCCACCAGACCGACTTGCCCTTTCTCTCTCTCTCTCTCTCTCTCTCTCTCTCTCTCTCTCTCTCTCTCTCACTCTTTCCCTGTCCCTTCGGTTGCGCTGCTGGTGGTGGTAGTTCGGTGGTGGTAGCTCGGTGGTGGCGCTCGAGTCCTGGAGCGGTCTGGCTCAAAAAGTTCAGGATACAATGCACGAACGACCCTTTACCTTTCTTCTCTTTCTTCTTTCTTTTCATCCCTCTCTCTCTCTCTCTTTCTCTCTCTCTCTCTCTCTCTCCCTCTTTCTCTTTCTCTCTCTCTTTCACTCTTTTTCTCTTTTTCTCTTCGTTCTCTTACCCCTTCGATCTGTGAACATACGCGAGAACAAGATAACGTTGAATAGAGAAATATTTCGATCTCATTTTCGAAATTTCTAATTTCGTTGATTATCATATAATCTCATATGTAATATATATATATATATATATATATATATATATATATATATATATTCTTATATAATCATATACTTTTCATTCTGTTAAAAATATCTTGTTAATTTGAAGATTAAAAAATTGTCTTTGGATTATAATTAAAGATAGGTTTTGCTATGTGTATATTACTTTGCGTATAATATAAACGTACACAAATACATAA